CACACTGCGTCAACATGATGTCCATTCAATCTCATCTTCCCGTCAAACTTATTCGTGCCTTGTACGGAATCAGTCGTCAAAAAATCCACAAATACGTGCTTGTGTCTTAGAAGCCAGTCTCAAAGAAGTCTTAAGATGGTTTACGGTGACAGCACATCAATTACTGCAAGGCATCATTGGCATTCCACATTAAACCAAACGTTCTTTTGAGAGAAATAAAGAAGCCTTAACACAACTGGCCGATCTCCGCATTGACAATCAAACCAAAAGGCAAATCGTATTGAAATCTGGAGATAGCGGTTCTCTTGGAGGTGCATTGACAATCAAACCAAAAGGCAAATCGTATTGAAATCTGGAGATAGCGGTTCTCTTGGAGGTGTAATTATTCGCTCCCTGTTAAAATGGGATTATAATACCCGCAAAGTCCTTCACAAGAAAAACGCTACTCGCAGATGTACACACACAAAAAAAACAAACAAACAAACGAGCAACGGTGTTAAGACCAGGTCACAGTCTCAGAAAAAGAAAAGTCCCCAGAAAACTGCTTCTACCCGCAAGAGAGGCACTTCGGCCAGAACGTAACCTTACATCCCCAAGCTATACCTGCAGCTACACACCTCCAGTAGCTTCAGGTTCTTCCACTTCTGGTGATGCCTGCAAACCCGATTTGACACTTCTCTTAACTAATTTGATGAAAAATTGGAAACACGTGCCTTCAAGAACTTCACCTTCAGCGGTGACACACTCCTCCTATTTAGTAGCAGTGGCTGATACTAACAAAGTACCTGCTCCCAAAATCTATGTCCAAGAGAAATGGGCATGGCCTTATCAAATTTGTTAAATTGAAAGTAGAATCAGTGTACCCTGCTGTCACGATCTACCTAGGTTTACGGATGTTTATTCAACTGACACTAATCCGGTGTTTGATCTGTGGACATATGCCGCGAGCAAGAAGCCAGCGAAACAAACGTAGTCGCCAAAAGTTCTTTGTGCAGAACAGGACATGGTAAATTACACCTGGGTGCTAATCCTTTAGTAGCACATCAAAAGAGCCATTTGTAATAAAATGATAGGCAACTTATATTGACAGTTCCTCTGATTTACAACTTGGGAATGGTTAGTCCACCACATCCAATCCAATCAGAATTAAGCTAGTGGGTGGGCATACCTCAAAGTTTCGAGGATATTAAACTAACTCCATACCAGAATTATTTAGTAGACCGAGGCAGATTACAAGGTGATTGCACGATTAAAGGCTACTCCGAGATACGCACTTGTAAGTTTGGCGTGAATCGAAGGGAAAAGATTGGAGTTAGAAAATGATTTATGTAAGCAAGATTATGAATGTATGTTTGAATATGTTCAGAGCATAGATAGTTACATATTTTTTATATTTGTATGATTTGTAATGCAAAATAGATGTGTTGGTTATTATGTATTGATGTGAATCAATTATCGTTGCCTGTATACGAGTAATTGATATCGTGCTTTATGATGTGTTATTATGTTATGATTTTACATTGTGTTTACCATTCATGAATGTATGAGTAATTCGGTGGGAATGGATGTGTGACGCATGAAATTAGATAACCTAATCTGATGATAAATTATCTGGGATTAGTGTGAATTATGTTCCCAGCGAAATAGTACAACCTTCTTGTGTTTTATAGGAAGCTTTCCGGGTGGAACAACTTCAGTAGAAGTAGATAGGAAAGTTGAAGGAGAATTTTCCGGGTGGGATAACTTCAGTTAGAAGGAGATCCCGAGAGTCTGAGAGAAAGACTGAAGTAAGACTGTCGGTACAGTCAGGGTCGACGGATTGGAGTCGACGGTTCGACGAGGAAGTCGACGGAAAGGGAAGTAGAGGTGGAGAAGAAATTGGAAGAAGCAAAGGAGAAGTAGAAGTGGATAGGAAAGTTGAAGGAGTAAAGGAGTGCAGGAGAAATTTAGAGAGACAGATGAGTAGAACCAAGGACAGGGCGAAATTCTCACACTGATTCAGATGATGAAATAGGCACAAAAGGGGTCGAACGATTGAGAAGCTCGCCTGTTGAAATTTTATTATTAATTAAATTGTTTTATTTAATTCCACCCCTTTGTACTTTTGTATTTAACTGTTTAATTTCACCCTTTAGTACTTTTGGATTTAACTGTCGGCATTGCTGACTGGGGGCTCAGAACCATATTCACCTACTTAACTTCTGAACCATAATCGAGCCTGGGTGGGTGCCATACCAAAATAAATATTGGAAACACCTCACCCCATTTTCATATAATTAAACCCCATAACACTCTAGGGTATAATAATTAAAAAACCCTATCGTAACATCTGCAATGAACGGATTGCATGATTATAGCTTTGTCAAACTTACTTGTGTATTTACACCAATGTTCTGCGATCCAGAGAAACCAACTATAACCATTATGTGAACAAACGCAAATACTGTAGGCAAGAACGTTTTCGTCAGGAAAAAACCCACTGTCGATTCCAAACCACTTTGTATCTCTGACTCAAATGTCCGAGCACGTAGAATTGACATCGAATGATACTGAGATCCCTGCCTCACTCAAATACTCCAAACGGATGTTAAGAATCCCATAGAACGTATCCCTGAAACCGGGGTGGGATCTACAACATAGTCGGAGAAGCCTGCTAGGGAAGACCTTAAAATTCCACCATCCCAGTCAACTTTAGAAATAGAAGACAATCAGAGGGGCATGCGCTCACAGAAAGTGTGAATTTGAATTAAATGACAGTTGCACGTCGATTCCAAATTTATTTACAATACAGGAAGACGCATCTCTAATAGAAACAGGAAGAAAATCCCTAGAAGCTCCTGTTCCTGGCATAAACTTTGAACAAATACTCACTTCATATATAGACATCAATGCAACAAATTCCACAAAAGACGATGAAATATAACTTGAGATTATTGTGCCAGGTCTTTTAAAAAAGTTCATGGATCTGAAATGTGTCACTGACGTGATGAAAGATCCAATGATTGTTTTACCAGAGATTCCATCTAGAAGAAAAGACGGCATGTATTTTATTATCCGTGACGTTGACATCATCATGAAACGTTCTTCGGGGAAAAGATCAGAGTTCTGGGACGACTGTGACGCTTGTACTAAGTGTGCATCATCATCCACCACATTTAATGAAAGAAATGTCACTCTCTTGATGATTTTTAAACGCCATGATGTGTACTGCGTCTAGAGAAACGTGAACAAAGAGCGCATCTACGAGCCATTACAGCCACAACCATTAGAAATGAGATCATAAACATTCGGATTTTACCAAACTTCAAAGAACTCTCCCGTAGGACTTGAACAGTTCAAGCGGAGGATAACGTGGTTCCAGAAAGCTGATAATATTCTTCCTGATATTGCAACCAACATCGCGCTTGCCGAATACATTGGAACCTTTGCCTCCAGAACATATCATGTACCCGTGAAACATCCATCAAGAAACGCCATATACATCAAAACAAAGCCTTCCGTTCGAGAAAGATTGGCAAACGAACTAGAGCACAAAGGGGCGAATAAAGTAGAGAACTGTAAACTCTGAAAGAAATGACGATTACCAGCATCCAAGAAGCTAGAAACAACTCCGAATATTCAATAAGAAGAACAAACCACAACCTATCCAAATTAAGGAATACCGCTGACCACATTGTTTGCATGGAAGATATGAGAAAAACAAGCAGATTCGTCCAAACTGTGAAACATATGAACGGCTTACAACACCCAGTCGTGACTCTTTACAACGAACAGATCACAGACATTAGGAGGTTCTGTTGTATACAAAAAATTCTGCCCTGACTTTAACCACATTCCAGGTGAAATTTTAAAGCGGATTTCACCTAAAGCCATCTATTCTACTTATTATAAATTTTAGGCGGATTCAAGGCGTAATATAGCCCAAAATATGATGCAAATTACTCCGTCTATTATTATGAGGAATCTGTGAAGTCAGCCTACTAAGCAGAATTTGTTTATTCCGCTTATTTAGCCTAGATTCCCCTTATTATCAATTCTAGGCGGAATAGGGCCCAAAGTATATAAATTACTCCGTCCATTATTAAGAGGAATCTGTTTAGTCCGCCTCTTAATCGTAATTTGTTTATTTTAGGTGTAATATGCAAATTAGTTGTCCTAAGATTCTACTTAAACAAAGAAATCAAAGATTTGCACCTGAAATAAAATTTTACCTGAAAAACAACCCAGCCTGAAACTTCTACCTGAAATAAAAACCTGCCTAAAGTTTCTGTCTAGAAACAAACTGCCTACTTTCTACATAAATATCATCCAATAAAAAATCTGCTTCAGATGTCTCTTAAACTGCCTAATGATTCTAAGACATTATTGGGAATCAATGATAATATTCATATTATTTGTCCTTTTTTTATTTCATTTCGAGTTTGGCGAGATTTCAGAAACATTTTCAGAAATATTTTACAAAAACTTTCATTGACATTTTGAGATACCTCATTAAAATTTCACTGAAATATTTGTGACATTTCCCAGAGCTCTGGCCAAAACTTTCACTGAAATTCTGGTGAGGTTTCAAAAACATTGTAGACAAACTTTTCACTCAAGTTTTGCTGAGATCTCTAACATTTTGTTTTGTCAGAGTTTACTATAACTTTGGTGAGATTTTACTAACATTTTGATCATTTGATCGTTATATAGTATTTTATTGAAGTTCCATGAATATTTTTTTAGACATTTCCAAAGGTTTTAAATAAATAATGGATATGAATGGTGTGATTTAGATGTATAGAATAGCTTTAACAATATTTTGACCCGTTGCTAGGATGTCTGTAGTGTGGCAGTTTATAGTGATGACTAGCACATGGGCATCATGCCACAGACATGTAGCATGATGTCCCACCCAATCACATTATCCTGACACCAGGCCAGCCAGTCCTAAGACTAACCTCTTAATGCTTTGCGCCAAGCGAGGCAGCTGTTAGTACCATTTTGGTAAGTCTTTGGTATGACTCAGCTGGGAATCGAACCACAACCTCCCGCATCCGAGGTGGATGCTCTAACCGCTAGACCACCAGAGCGGTATTGGATTTGAATTAAACAGGACTTTATCAATCAATGTGATATTTCAGTGTACATGAAACAAAATTATACAGATTTTGTAATTATATGACATCCATAAGGCAAGAGATATGGGAGATAATAATAATAATAATAATAATAATAATAATAATAATAATAATAATAATAATAATAGACTTTATTTTAAGAAGGTAACTCACTTAGTTACAGAATTAACGTACCTGGAGGCATGTTATACACAATAAATTATTTACAATATATACAACATGATGTGATGAATCAGGCTAGACACTAAATAATTACATGATTAAATGAACAAAATGATTTTAAAAATCAAACTATCAAGTCTGGAACATATGCACAGCCATCTGTGAACACATAAACATATATAAAATATAAAATATTATCTTGCATTGAAAAATTCAACTGTGAAAATAATGCAAAGTGACACCGATTGACAGTGACTGATTTAGAAAAGAAATGCAAGGAGCCTGTCTTATGTCACAGTGTGGTCTCTTGATTGAGTCATTTTTCAATAATATTCTTATTTTATACATAATTCTAACACAATTAGAATATTTTGACAATATAAGCAATTTGAAGGATGATTCTATTTGTGAAAACTCCAAGATATGACTTTTTGGCATGGGTATCTGGCAACATTATAAACAATTCCTTCCCGTGATCTATATGTAGTCCTTCCTTAAATTTTGTTTCGAGTAATAAAACCTCGAAATGATCATCCGGGCTCAATTCCTTATCATATTTAGCTTGCTAGCTGCTTCTGTTAAGCTCTTTATGGCGCAAAAGGCAAAATGGCAGTCCTGACTTTCAGTTTTCATACGATTAACCATCAACTTTGTATTCAAGCTATTCTCATTGCCACACATATTCAACTGGTTATTCAACTTGTATCCCACTCGAAAATTCGAATCGCAACAATATAAACGATTCCCACCAGTGATTTAATTACGTTGTCCCTCCTTAAATTCTGCTTGGACTTATAAAACCTCGAACTGATCATCTTGGTTCAATTCCTTGTCATATTTAGTATGCTAGCTGCTACTGCTAAGCTCTTTATGGCACAAAACCAAAATGCTAATCATGGCGTTCAGTTTTCATACAGATTGACTAGTTACGTTCCCATCATCTTTGCATTCAAACTATTCTCACTGCCGCACATTTTAAAATGGTTATTCAACTCATATTCCGCTCGAAAATTCGAATCGCCATGTTTAGCAAGCATGCTCATTCCCATCAGTTTCCGTTACGCGACAATTCATTGGGCAAGTACAAACTTTTAACCAATCAAAAAGATCTTAGGTGGCGCTCACCAGTTATTATGTACTTTTGAGAGAGTGATGTATGTTAGGTGAAGTTGTTTGCATTTTAAACATGTACAGTGGAGAAAATATAGGCATACCTATATGCTACTTTCATGTAATGTGGCTGAAATTTCTTTGGACATTGTACTTTTGGAAATTTTAAATGATCTTAGGACACTGCTAACTAAAATGACTGCTCCCTTGTGCTCCAAAAATCAACCTGAATTTGTCTAAAGTACACTATTCTTGGCAGTTATTAAAATATGGAAAATGAATTTTGCCAAACTAGACAATACCAGCCTCTAAAAGTGCAATGAATGAATTACCAAATACATAAAATGTAAAAAAGTTATCGGCTCTTTTTTTTTTTTTTTACAATTTACCTCTGAAGTTCGAGAAGTGAAAATGAGCTAGTAGAGCTAGCGTTTTTGTGAAACATGCACATCTGGAGTAAGGCCAAGCTGTATACTCTCTAACCCATATTACACCCATCAATCATACATCAAAATAAAGGGAATTAAAGGTTCTTTGAACAATAACTAAGATATACAAAGTCTCTTTTAAATAGCCAGTATAACTAGTGAGGAAACCTGGGGAAATTCTTTTTCTTTAAAATTCTAAATACGAAACTGTAGAGCGCCACCTTAATAGTGATCATCTGTTACATAATATACGGAACAAATACTTAATTGAAAGCTCGTTGCGAAGCGACCGGATAGAGCATTCAAATTCGGAGACAATATTTAAAAAAGGATCCATATTGATGAAAATCAGATTCAGTTTAATCCAACTGAAATTAAGAAAAATACAACAACAATTTTTAAAACAAATACAAGGAAACATTTGGAAAGAAGTTATTCCCAAAATGAACAATAAAATTACAGCTATCAAAAACAGGAAATATAAATGTTGCTGAAAAATCATTCGAATTGTACAAAAAACAAAAAATAATTTTTATTATATCTTAGTAATATTTTTTAATTGAAATGTCAGTGATATTACAATCACAAAATATCATTATATTTTCAGAATTTTTGGCAAAGTGTCAGTGATATTTCAATCACAAATTCTTATTGATATTTTTGGAAATGTTGGCAGTCAGTGAAATTTCAGTAACAAAATTTCACTGATATTTTCTGAAATTTTCATAAAATCTAAAATATAATAATTTTAGTGAAAAAAAGGACATTTGAGTAAATGTAAAAAAAATCTTCACTCTGATTTTACTCAAATTTCAGTCACATTTTTACTAGGGTATGATAGTTGTAGAGCATATTTTAATAGGAATTAAAAGAAACTTTTTTTTTTTAGAGTAAACATCAGATCTTGTCCAAAATCCGCCTTGAACTAAATTTTCTAGGTCCAAATATTCTATGCTAATGTAATTCTTTGATAAAGTCCAAAATTACGCCTAACATTTCTGCCAAAATCAGTCTAAGCCCAAAATCCATCTTTAAGTAGGAAAATGAACTGGACAAGAAGAACTTTTACGTCTAACAGTTGTCCTTTATGAGGAATATAAGAAATAGTACGCTTAACTATTAGACGGATTTAGTCTGTCACTTTAGCAGTATTCCCAGTCCGTCTAAAGCCTGTCTGAAATTTGGTGTTTTTAGGTGGAATCCACCCTGAATCCACCTAAACTCCAGGCGGAATCTGCCTAAAAATTTCGTACGGGTTGAAGGCGGTAGCGTTCTTGAAATGGACAAGACCTATAACCTAAGTGATTATCATGTGACTTCGACAGTTTTCAAAGACCTGTCCTTTAAAAGCGATCTACAAATGACCATCCGATTGTGTTAGGCCCAACTTTAATCCACACCGATTGCAGCACCAGGGCATATTATACATTCCTCCATGACGCAGCTGACAACTTGACAGACAACAAGAGTGAAAATCACATCCTAAGTTACGCTTCAAAATGGAAGCAAGCTGAATGACCAAAGTTCGTCATACTGTTTCAGCAATTAGTGACACGTGAGCAGGAAGAAAGATGTCGTTCCCTAAGAAACATGGGTAATTATCGCCTCAGTGAAAGCTATTTGCACCACCCTGTCGACATTGAGCACTGGGCCAGAATGACGGAAGAACAACGGGATAAAAAAAGATTTCTCAATGACTGCGGTAAAGACCATCCAAATATCATGTACTCAATAGATGGCAGAAGAAATGCAACCAGAACTCCTTCTGCAAGTCGGAAGTCGAACCAAATTCGAAGAAAGCAGGCAGAAAGGTATAGAACACCATCAAATAAGCCAAGTGCGAAACGCAAACTGTGAAGTGCAATATATGTAAAGTACTTATATAGCCACACCAGTTTTCAACTGTGGTCACATGATACTCAGATGAAGTTTAGCTAATATTCGGACAAAATATCAACAAAATATGGTGCATGGATGCTCGCGAAAAACAATATAATTATAAATATCACTACCATTAATAACAACATTCGAAGAAAAAAAGAACATTTAAAATCGAAACAAGAATAAAAAAAAAGGAGAGACAATATTTTACATAAATACTCATGTTTAAATTTAAAATTTGTGTGCCGTTTTAAAAAATAATCTACAAAATGAAGATTTTAGAAGCTCTTTTCGCACCAGTTATAACTTTAGTTTTCGAAGCCAAAATCAAGTTTTTATAACACTTAAAAGCAGTTTCAAAATATATATTTACACTGATGCAATGAAGTTAACTTTTGTAACTTTGCGCACTTTTCTCATAACTTTTCGTAACTTACTCAACTTTCCGTAACTTTATCGCAATTTTTCGTAACTTTATCGCAACTTATTGTAACTTTCGCAACTTTTCGTAACTTTTCGCATTTTAGTTATAACAACGAACAAAATCACGAAGAAGTTTACTTGGCAGCAGGCAAAAATGACTTGATTCAAATAAGCAAAGATATTTTGGGCCTACGAGAAACTCTTTTAAATGCCACGGACACTGCTGAGTCAGACATTCCTGTTTCTCTGATACTTCAGCAAGGACAAGGCAGAAAGAGATGACGACGAAGGCACTCCTTCAGAGGACTTCACACCCCCACATATAGTACTAATATTAGTACCATTAGTCCTGCCTTGTGGACAGGGTACTAACATGAGTGTATGTGTGTCAATGGAGCAGCTGAGTGGCGCGGTTTGAGTCGGAAATTCTGCGCATTAAAAGTAAACACGGTTTACAGGTGACTTTAAAATTCCACCAAGAAGCAATTAGTTTCTCAATAAAAACTATTCTGCAATTTAGGCAAGTATCCATTCTCCATCTCCTTGCGTTATGTCATTCAGCAACTAATACCTTAGCGTAAAATATCCATATATAATCTGGCAAGTCTTATGTAGAAAATGGATCATGGCGAGAGTCTCGCGTTATCTGTCATGGACACGATGAGGTTAGCGTAATTATGCCAATTTATGTATCGTGTGAGGGCTTAATAAATTAATAAAATGCCAAACTTCTTTGACAAAATAATTATACATATTTAGTAGATTTATAAACTATTTGTTTTTGACTTTAGTGAGGATTTTTTTTTGCTCCATTACACGATATGGGATCAGTTTGTAGCCTCAACCACAACAAAACAAGTTGAAAGAGCAAGAAAAGAAGAACTGTAAGAGACTTAAACGTTTTTGATTATTAAATCACAAAGAAAAAAAACCCTATTTAAAACTGTTG